AAAAAAAAAAAAAAAAAAAAGAATCCAGGCAGGCCGGTGGCTTACACCTGTAATCCCAGCACTCTGGATGGCCAAGGCGGGCAGATTGCTTGAGGCCAGGAGTTTGAGACCAGCTTGGGCAACAGAGCAAGACCTCGCCTCTACAAAAAATAATTTTAAAAAATTAGCTGGATGTGGTGGCCCGTGCCTGCAGTCCCAGCTACTCAGGAGGCTGAGGTGGGAGGATCACCTGAGCCCAGGAGGTTGAGGCAGTAGTAGCAATGATCGTGCCACTGCACTCCAGCCTGGGCAACAGAGTGAGACCCCTACTCAAAAACAACAACAACAAAGGTGAATGTCTAATAGTACCTCCCTCACTGAATTAGCTGTTGAGTTTCCAAGTTTAGCCATGCTAGCTGCTCAATGAACGTCCCCCAACCTTGAAGACAAGGAAGTCTTCATTTTACAGATGAGGAATGTGAGACTTAGAGACTGGAATGGACTTGGCCAAGGTCACGGAGCCAGTCTTGGACTCAACCTTGAGTGTGTTTTTGTTGTTGTTTTTGTTATTGTTATTGAGTAGAAGTCTTACTCTGTGACCCAGGCTGGAGTGCAGTGGCACACTCACAGCCACTGCAGCCTCGACCTGTTGGGCTCAGACAATCCTTCCACCTTAACCTTCCAAGTAGGTGGAACTACAGGTGTGTGCCACCACACCTGGACTAATTTTTTTGATTTATTGTACAGACAGGGTCTTGCCAAGTTGCCCAGGCTGGTCTTGAACCCCTGGGCTCAGGCAATCCTCTCGCCTCCTCCTCCCAAAGTGCTGGGATGACAGGTGTGAGCCACCGTGGCCAGCCTTGAACATTTAACCCCTCTAATAATGCTCAGGAACTCCCAGAACCGCCCAGCCTCCTAGGCCGGATTCCCCGGAGGGCTGCTTGGAGGAGGAGGAAGGGTCCATGCAGGAAGGTCCTGAGCTCCTGGACTTCAGCGTAGATGAGGTAGCCGAGCAGCTGACCCTTATGGACATGGTGAGGACCCCGAACCAGAAAGGGGGGGTGAGAGGTGGGAGAGGAGTTCCCCCATCCAGCACCAATCCATTCCCTCTCCTGCCTAGGAGCTCTTCCTGCGTGTGCGGCCCTGTGAGTGCCTGGGCTCTGTGTGGTCCCAGAGGGACCGGCCAGGGGCCACTGGCTCCTCCCCCACCGTGCGTGCCACCGTGGCCCAGTTCAACACAGTCACGGGCTGTGTGCTGGGCTCGGTGCTAGGGACGCCAGGCCTGGCTGGCCCGCAGCGGGCTCAGAGGCTGGAGAAGTGGATTCGCATCGCCCAGGTGTGTTTAGTTGGGGGGTGAAGACCCCCAGGGAGGTGGGGGGGAGGCAGACACGAGGGGAGGGTGGGCCTTAGGGGTAACTAAGGGGACAGTCAGAAGGTGCCTGGGCGGGGCTGGGGCCTGGGATAGCAGAGGGACACTGGGCAGGTCTAGGGACAGGGGTGCCAGGCAGGTCATAGGATCTGAGCAGGGTCCCAAAATGAACAGGAGGGAAGGGTCGAGGGAAGAGAGGAAGAAATGGGGGCTTGGGAAAGAGGGGGGCATATCCAAGAGTGGGAGGAGAAGGGATAGAAAATGGACACCTGGCCTGACACTTGGGAGAAGGGAGGAGGTGTCTGGGCCTAGGAGAGAGGTGTGTGCACTCTGGGCCCTGGGACTGACGGACTTGAGGGGCGGAGACAGGAAAAACCAAAGGAAGAGGTCGCGACTGGAGGGCAGCTGGGGGGCATCCAAGGGAGGGAGGAGGAGGGAGGAGAGGACTCTTTATTTTATTTTATTTTATTTTATTTTGAGTTGGAGTCTCTGTCGCTCAGGCTGGAGTGCAGTGGCATGCTCACGGCCACACCAGCCTCGACCTGCTGGGCTCAGGAGGTCCTTCTGCCTCAGCCTTCCATTGACTGGAACCACAGGCGTGCACCACCATGCCCTGCTAATTTTTTTATTTATTGTAGAGACGAGGTCTCGCTAAGTGGCCCAGGCTGGTCCCGAACCCCTGGGCTCAGGAAATCCTCTCGCCTCAAACCTCCCAAAGTGCTGGGATTACAGGTGTGAGCCACAACGCCTGGCTTGAGGAGGGGACTCTTAAGGATGTCTTGTCAGACGTGGGACAGGACAGAGGGGTCTGACCTGACGTCAGAAGTCACAGGATCAAAGACCAAGACCCCTGACTCACGTCTGTAATCCCAGCATTTTGGGATGCGGAGGGGCAACTCAAGGCCAGGAGTTTGAGATCACCCTGGGCAACATAGCGAGATCCCATCTCTACCAAAAAAAAATTCGTTGGACATGGTGGTGTGTGCCTGTAGTTACAGCTATTTGGGAGGTTGAGGTGGAAGGATTGCCTGAGCCCGGGAGGTCGAGACTGCAGTGAACTGTGATGGTGCCACTACACTCCAGCCTAGGCAACATAGTGAGATTACGACTCAAAAAAAAGTCACGGGATCAAAGGTAGATGGTGTCTGGGGTCAGACGTGCAGTCTGACTGGTGCCCCCTTCTGTTCCCCAGCGCTGCCGAGAACTGCGAAACTTCTCTTCTTTGCGCGCCATCCTGTCCGCCCTGCAGTCTAACCCCATCTACCGGCTCAAGCGCAGCTGGGGGGCTGTGAGCCGGTGAGCTGGGCAGGGACCTCCCGTCTAATCCCATCTCTGGCTCTTCCAGCTGCTAACCCCTGACTACCCCTCTCTTGTCCCCTCAGGGAACTACTGTCCACTTTCCGGAAACTTTCACAGATTTTTTCTGATGAGAACAATCACCTCAGCAGCAGAGAGATTCTTTCCCAGGTATAAACAGATGCGATGGGGACCCAGCGGACTCTGGGTCCCAGAAGGGGGACTGAGGCCAGGCAGGGGGAATGGCCTTGTCATGGCCATAATGTTCAGTGTCCTTTGCCTGCACCTCAGCAATGACCTTCCCCTTGTCCAGGGCCAGCCCCACGTTTTAACTTCCTCCCCTTCCTGCGTCATGGTTCACGCTTGGTAACTGCCTCATTTATTTATTCAACAAAACACAAGAAGCCACAAGGAAAAGGTTACTTCAGGCCAGGATCTTAGTGCAGAGTTGGGGAAAAAAAATGTGCTGAGGACTTTACCTTGGTAAGCAAAACTAAAAAAATGTGTCCACAAGTCTGGCTTGATTGTAGGCGAGAGTTGGGTTCTTTTATTTTTTCCTGAGTTGGAGTCTCACTCTGTTGCCAGGCTGGAGCACAGTGACGCTCCCGGCCACCGCAGCCTCGACCTGCCAGGCTCAGGTGATCCTTCTGCCTCAGCCTTCCAAGTAACTGGAATTACAGGCGTGCACCACCACACCCAGCTAAGTTTTTTATTTGTGTAGAGACAAGGTCTCATCAAGTTGCCCAGGCTGGTCTTGAACCTGTGGGTTCAGGCAATCCTTTCACCTTGGCTTCCCAAAGTGCTGGAATTACAGGCTTGAGCCACAGTGCCCAGCCTGGGTTCTTTTTATTTTCTACACACACA